CTATCAGACTGTAAGTCATTTATTCACTTACCAAACAAATTTACAAACAGCTAGAGTAAGGATCAACCAATATTAGATTTGGGGGACAGAAAGATGGAAAACAAATAAAAACTTACAATTTCAGCCCTCAGTGAATCTAGAGAAGTCCAGAACAAATAAATCAGAAATTACACTACAGCATGATTAGTGCCACATCAGAGGGAGGAACAAGAAATACAGAGAGAAGGACTACAAAAAAGTATTTCTGATTTCTACTTCCCCTCAAAAGACTCAGGATATATTTTCCATGTTCCCCTAAACTATGAACATATCTCCACTGCAGCACTTAACACATTAAATTGTGTTCACTGGATGTCCAGAGTCATCACAAATGTAACATGTTAAAACAGACCTCTTAATTCCCTGACCTGCACACCTGCTCTCAGCCCTGCCTCCACTCTGCTCCCTCCCAGTCTTTCCCATGTAAAATAACACCATCTTTTTTGTAGTGACAAGTTAAAAACCAAGGAGTTGTCATTGTTTCCTCTTACCCTGAACCTCATCAAATCCATCAACAAGCCCTTTTGGGTCTACCTCCAAAATATATGCCCAATCCATCCACTTCTGTACATTTTTACTATCACCTCCTTGGTGCGAGTCGCCATGATCTCCTACATGGATTACTGCAACAGTCTCCTAGCTGGTCTTTCTGCCTCTACTGTTGTTCCCTACAACCTGTTTTCCAAACTGAAACTGTAAAAATCACTTAAAAATAATCAGATCCTGCTCAAAAACACTCCCATGGCTTCCCACAGCAATAAGAATAAAAGCCACACTTTTTAAGATCCTACGTGATTTGGCCCCTGCCTTCACTTCTCTAAACAGACCTAGTGCCCTCTTCTTTGTTCACCCACCAGCTATATCGGTTTCCTTTCTGTTCCTCTACTGTGCCAATCTCCTTCCACTTTGAGGCCTCCTCCCTTGCGTTCCCTCTGCCAGGAACACTCTCTCCCCTAATCCTTTGCACAAATGGCTCTTTCCTCCCCTCAGCATTTTGGCTCAAATATCAGAGGGACTTCCCTAACCTTTTACCTAAAATAGCCTCTCTCCTGTAACTCTGCCTTTAGGTTATTCACATTCAACACTATATGAAATTATATCACTTATTTCTTCATTTGTTTACTGTCTGCCACCCTCTACCAGAATGTAAGTTCCAAGCGATCTAGGCTCTTGTCTGGTCCCTGTTATATCCCTAGTGCCTAGAAAAAGGCTCAGCACAAAGTTAGCACTCAATAAGACATTTCCCAAGTAATGAATTTTGATGATTTAAACAAAGCAGTTTCAACAGTAGGGATGGGGTATGAGCAAGTCTGAAGAGGACTAATAAATGAGTAAGTAGTAAAGAGAAAGAAACAGAAAATGTAGACCTCTTTTAGAAAGCATGATTGTGAGAAGAGATGTCGAGTGAAAGTTGGAAGAAGACCAAGGTTGTTGAAGGGTCAATACAAGAGGAGAAAAACTTGTGTCATAATTCTCTTCAAATCAAGGACCTCTTTCAGAATTAAGCAAAAGCCCTGAGTCTTCACCTCAGGAAAATACAAATACATACAAAACATTACAATTCAGGGGGTTCAAGAACTCCCCAAAGTTCTTGTACTCCAAATTAAGAATCCTTACAGTATAAACACAATGAAGATTCCCAAGACATGGGTTAACGTTAAATAATGGAGAAAGGCCACTAAGCTCGTAAGAGGAAAAGGAGGTAAAGGATGTGCACTGTCCTTTGAGTCAAGACAGAAAAGCAAGGTTGGGTGAAGACTGAGATGAGAAGGGGTAGAAATTTGAAGAAGTTTCTGCCTGGCAGAATTTTAATTTCAGTGAAATAGGAGGTAAGAGCACATGCTAAAAAGAATCATTAGAGTTGAGCAAAAGACCAGGCATATAACATGTGCTCAAGAAACATCTACTGAATATTTTGATAGAATAATTGAAGATACTGGAGCACATTATATGAAATTCTGAAATCTGGTTCCACAAAAGGTCAACTTGTTTTCTTTTTATAAAATTGGCTCCAAAAGTTCAGAAACATAAGACACTTTGAATTAGAAAGGAAGAGCTTCACTAACAGAAGGATATAGAAAACCACATAAAATTTTATGAGTAATTTTGAGGTAGGCTTTGTATTTATAATAAAAATAAGTGAATACATGTTTTGGAAATTCACTTCAAACAAAATACTAAGTCCACGTGTTTAATCTTTTTAAAAAACAAATAATCTCTCCAGTCAAACCCAAGCTCCTCATTTCTCTTCAATCCAGACCACGCTGTAAAGAAATAACTTGCCTTTTTTAAGGAGCAGAAAACAATGGCCTTAGGAGAAGTATCATTTATCATTTCCTCTTGGAAACTTAAGAAGGGGTTAAACAGTGTTGTCAAGAGGCTTTTCTGAACCAAAAAAATTTAATAATATAGACTGATGTTAATAGCATAACTAAGACAAGCAGAACCACCTTACTAACTAGCTGATTTCAAAAGATTATCGGGGGGTACACGTACAAGAAAATTCCCAGCAGTGTTGTTCCCATTTATCAAAAACTGTAGAAATCTTGGTGTCCACCAACAGTACAGTAGATAAATTGCGGTATACTCTTACAGTGTAACACCAAACAACAGACTAACTGCAGGTGATAAGGATAAATCTTAAAAACAATGTTGAGTCACGAAGCAAAATACAAAGGAATACTTAGTACAATTTCATTTATAAGAAGTTTAAAAACGAGCCAAACTAGTATGTGCATGTTCACACACAAAGATGGTGAAACTATAAGGAAAAACAAGGAAGTGGCTATCACAGAAGTCACCATAGGGACTACATCTGGGGACAAAAAGGAGCGTATGATGGGGAAAGGGAATAAATGATAAAATCTGCTCTAATTGCCTCTATATATGGAGTACTTTAAAAGCAGATTATCCTAAAACAAACTGAAAAGGAAGCAACTGACAAAGAAGACAGACAAAGAGCCTACAGCATATCTGCATCTGATTATATGCCGGGCTATAAGCAGTGATTCTTTTTTTCAGAAGGTAAACAGCATATATTTTGGAAGCTGCCATTAAATTATGCTAAAATGTATACTGTTTAAAATATTTCATGAATGTACCTCCCTAGTTATTTCCCACTAATTAAGACTGAATGGTTTAGTTCACTGATCAATTAAAATACAAACAAAAATCAGTTTTATCCTGGAAGCAGATATGAATAATGTGACACTTTCCTTTTATAGTTATAACTTATTCTAGTTTCAAACTGATTATTCTTCGATTTATTTCCTTACAGGTTAAAAAAAAAAGTGTACTTGAAATTCTGCAAACCCGTAGAGGAAATTTTAAACAAGAAATATTCTGATATATAATGGCCTGGAAAGGAAGAAGGAAAACACAGAGACCCTATCACTTATGCAAACTTTTCCTGAAACCGCTATCCTTGACTTTATTTAAAGGACAACAACAACAAAAATGTATTCCCATACGTAGTTAGGTATCAGGTCCACGACCGCCACAAAGTTATTTAAGTCTCAAATATTTTTTCAAAAGAAAGCCAGTTTACCCTGCCTTTCTTGTGTATAATTTCTACAGTAATTATATGAGATTTTCATGCAAATGCCTATGTAATCTGGGCCCTTCACCTCCCAAAGTCTATAAAGTGGCTTGGAATTGAGAGACTGGGAGTGAGGAAGAGCCAGGTTGAACTCCCAAATCTGACTTTCAAATTCCTCAGCTCCACTCCAGAGCGTATCTAAACAGAACAGTCCCCCCAACAACCAAGCGGAGAGCTGCGGCAGGAAGCAAAGCGGTCACCATAGGAACTGGGCTCAACCCTAAGCTCCCAAGAAACGACAACAGGAGCAAAGCTTGCTCCCAGAGGGCCTCCCGGGACCGCAACTCTGCCCGCTACTGCCCCTCACAGCGGCTCCCGCAGCGAATACCCACCTCAGGGGTCGCCCGCGGCCCCTAACCCCCGCCACACCCACCCTCCTGCAGCTGCCCTCACAGAGACCTTCGGGCTCAGGAGTTGCTTTACTCCAACCCAGCGCATCCCGGTGCTTCTACCTGGAGCTGAGGGTCCCTCCCCGGGGTCCTCGGCCTGTCGTCCTCCCCGGAGCTCATCTCGCCGACTGCTGGGACCAGGCCTCCGCCGGGGATCCAGGTCCCTCCCCGACTCCATCCTCCGCCCCTTTCTCCTCCCTTCCCACCCCAAATCGACCCGGCCCCGCCCCAGGGGGCGGAGGGAGGCGGGACCCAGCGGGAAGGAGGCGGGGGCGGTTAGCGCCGGTCGGCGCCGCCGTGGGCCCCGCCCTCACGCTCTGTACCTGATGGGGCTCGTCCTCCACCTCCCCGGCGCCTTCGCTCCGCTTCCGTCCCGCGCGCCCAAGTCCCCGTCCGCACGCGTACCTGGCTCGACACTCCCTCTAGCGGGGACTACAAGCGGTGCGCGCGCACCTACGCACGTAGAGACGCGTACGGCCACCTTACAGGGCGTCCAGCAAAGGCCTCTTCCTGGTCCATCCGCGCCGCGCAGGCGCACGCCCACGCAGCGTCTAGACGACCCACCCGAGCGTCCCGTCTCCTAGTAACCAGCAGCTACCCTCTTTTCCAAGACTTTTCCCTTACTCCCTGCGGGTGGCGGCCGCACCTGGGCGGAACGCGCATGCGCAGGGCTATATCGCCTCCGGCCACCTTCCCTTAGCTCTGGAGCACCTGCCGCTTTGCTGCGGCTTTTTTGTGCCACTTTCCACGGGGATTGGGTACCACTCTGGACCCACGTTCCGTGAGCTCGTTACTCCCTAGAATTGCTCGTGGGCGCTGGGAGGGCAGTGCGCTCTCCCGCCGCAGTCAAGGGCCGGTTTGCGGGGAGCATCCAGGTCCGGTACCGCTGCTGCCTCCTCGGGAGAGAGAGCCGGCCTGTTCGGTGAGCACCGGCAGCCTGCAGTCTGGGGAGCCTGCGGCCCCCGGCCCTCGACATGATCCAGTCTGGGCTGAAGCGGGGAGAGACAGAACTAGCAATGAAAGCGCAGGTTTCTCACCGGTATACCTACCTTCTCCACAAGCCAGGCCTTCTCCGAATCGCCTTTTCGGGGAAACTAATGACGGTTAACAAAAAAAAAAAAAGGAAAAAGTATATTATCTCACTCGACATTTAATGTTGAATCGATTGCTTTCCTGTTTAATACCATTTAAAGTTGTCTTCTCTCAATTAGAAGCCTTCAGTCTGGGAACATTCATTTAACTTAGCCAGGTGTAATATTATTTTTGGCCATCCATCTATGCTAATATTGACCACATTACCTAAAAGTGAAGAAATGAGCTTTTTAGTGAAAAAGAATGAGAACTGAATTATTCTGTCAAATTTTTGGAGCCCAGCTTAAGAAGTAATATTGTCTTTTTAACATTTCTTAGTGTTTAACGTGTTCCAGTTTTCTTAAATAACTCAAGGGCTGCTGAACTCTAATGGTGGCTTTATCTCCCTGTCTTTTCCTACAGATGAAATAGATAAACTAGGTATTTTATAGCTGTCCTCTGATGATCTTGACATAGTATTCGTCTGTGTATTCCAAAAGTAATCTCACATTTGAAGAGACTAACAATTCCTGGTTTTGCCAGGTGAGTACTCATTTTCCCCCCACAATATATTATTGGCAGGCATAAACACATTTTATATTAGAACAAATTTCATTGAAGTACATTTAAGTATGTGCCATATGTTTTTCCGATCTCTCCTCTAATTTTTTATCCCTATTTGTGCCAGTACACTTTCTCATATTTTGTAGCATTTATTTTCAGATACACCTTGCAAGTATAGCTAGATGGGAAAAAGTTAAATTGAGTTTCCCTGTTATTTTAGATAAAGAAGTGAGCGGTCCCAACAGGTACATTTCTTGCAAAATACAATTATACCTAACTGGTAAAATAAGTTACAAAGAAGCATGAGCTCTCAAAGACCGTCCTGAAACAAAACAAAGTATAATCTTATTTCCTCTTTAGATACTACGATTATTTTGAATAAAATGTTCTCATTAGCTAGCATTGTTTAAAAAAAATAGGGAGAAGTGTATAAACCTCAGAACTCTCAGATGGAGTCGAAGGTCTGCAGGGAGAAGTGAATTATTAATATAGGAGGTAGGAAGGTACTTCCTTTAGGGAAAAAACATGGAAAGGTTAAGCATTTATGTTTGCCACCTAGATTTTACTGAAGATTCTTTGGAAAGAATGTAGGGAAAAGATCATTTTAAAACCAAACCAGGGTGTGAAGATTTTCCTTCTATTGACTGAACTATTGACTATTGACTCCTTCCCCCAGCCAAAGAAAGTGAAAATTTTCTTCCCTTTGTGGATATGCAGAGTGGTGAGTGCCCCATCCTATTCCATGAAACCCTTTTATTTAGTAGGTTTGCTCTCTCGGTTGTAACAGATACTCCTGTGTAAGTCTAAGTTCTGGGTTTCTCCATCATTTCACAAGCTTCACTACGAAAACCTCTGTTTTGCCTTTTGTCTTCCTCAGTACCTCCCTCATCCCCTAAAAAAAAATCTGGGACTCAGTTACACACATTAAACTGCTTGTTGTTCTACAGCTAACTGATGCTCTGTTCGTTTTTTTTTTTTTAAACAGGACAACTTATACTGATTTATCTTAAAGCTCACTCTTCTTTCCTTTGATTGTGTTAATCCAACCTGCAACATTTATTCATATCAGATTTGTATTTTTCATCTCTGGAAGTTTGAATTTTTTAAAAATATCTTCCATCTCTCACTTACCATGCTCATGCTTTTTTCTACCTTCTTGGAAGTATGGAATATATTTAAAAGAGCTGTTGGTTGTATACTAATTCTATCATCTGTGTCATTCCTGGGATTGTTCCTATTAACTGACTTTTTTTTCTCCTGGTTATGAGTTACATTCTTCTGCTTGTTTTCATCTCTGGTAAGTTTTTACTGACTGCCAGACATTGCAGATTTGACATGGTTGGGTGCTGGAGGTTTCAGTTTTGGTTTTTCTTTAAATATATTTAAGCTTTATTCTGAGATGCAGTAAGTTTATTTGGAAACAGTTTGGTTCTTTAGAGTTGCCCTGTTGAAAATAGTAACTACTAGCTACATGTGGCTATTTGAAGTGATGATAAAGAAATTAAATAAAATTTAAAAGTTAGTTCCTCATTGGTACCCTATACTTTTCAAATTCCAACAGCCAGCTTTCCCTGGTGGTTCGGTAGAATTCCGCTTGCCAACACGTACATGTGGCCAGTGGCTACTATATTAGTCAAACATAGAGAAGAATATTTCCATCATTGCAGAAAGTTCTATTGGACAGACTTGCTTTAGAACCTTGCTCTTAAGCTTTGTTAGGTCCAAAATGGTGTTTATTGAGGGCTAATTTGACCCCATTACTGAGACAATACCTTTCTAAGAACTCTATTCTTGGTCCTGTATAAGCTCTAAGGACTATTCTGCCTTCTTTTTGTGTTTTTTCCCCAGGGCCCAATAGTTTCCTTATGCACATTCACTGATCAGTACTCAGCCAAAGAATTGTGGGGTATCTTCTGCAGATCTCTGGAGCCCTTTCTCTTGCTGCACCTCTCTCCTCTCTTCACAAATTCTAGCCATCTTGGCCTCCACAAACTGTCTTCTCAACTCATTGAAATGACCAGACTCAATTTGGGTTCTCCCTATTTGTGCTAAAGCCTGAAATTCTAGGCAGTGAGCATTCATAGGACTCACCTTGTTTTATTTCTTATTCAAAAAATCCTTCTCCACTATAAAGTGACAAACACATTGTCCTACATTTTTAAAATTGCATTTATAGTTCAGCCATTCACATTTAGGTCTCTACTTCATTTGGAGTCCACTTTGGTATGTAAGATAGGGATCCTGCTTTATTTTTATCCACATAGTGAACCAGTGTTCACACTAAACTTATTCTGTTCCATGCCTTTTGCTGTATGTTGCCACTTTTATCATATGTGAAGCTCCTGTACATACCTACGTCCAAGTTGGAGCTCTGTCATGTTCTATAAGTCATTTATTTGCTTCTGCACTTGTACTAAACTTTTTTTATTATTTTGACTTTGTAGCGTATCTTAAAATATGGTCAGGCAAGTCTGTGCGTGTGTGTGTGTGTATCCAAATTTATTTAGTCCTTATGAATCTTTATTTTTCCATATGCATTCAAGATGCCTTCCTGAATGGCAACCCGAATACCAGGTCAAAGAGGTCCCCAATAGACTTCTCCTCTCACATGCTCAAGAGCCCAGAGAAGTTAAGCTGAGACTCATAGGACCAGACCTACCCTATTGCATTTCATTCTTTCTCAGTCCCTCTATTAGACTGAAGCTTAATGTGCTAGTTGATAATTACATACATTATCATTATTTTACCTTTGTTGATTTCAAATGTGGTATGTTTCATTGTTCTGTTAGTATTTCCAACTTCATTCTTTTGCATGTGGATAGCCAATTTTCCCAGCACATTTTGTTGAAAAGACTGCCTTTTACCCTCTGAATGGTCTAAGCAGTCATAGGTCTATTCAGATTTTCTGTTTCTTATTGACTTAGTCTTGGTAGGTTTCGCATTTCAAGGAATTTGTCCATTTTAACTAGGCTATCCAATTTGTTGACATACAACTGTTCATAGCACTCTTATAATGCTTTTTATTTCTGTAGAATCAGTAGTAATAACCCCTTTCATTTCTGATTTAGTAATTTGAGCTTTCTTTTTTTCTTAGTCCATCTGTCTAAAGGTTTGTCGATTTTGTTGATCTTTTCAAAAAACTACTTTTGTTTTTAATTGATTTTTCTCTTTTGTTTTTCTAGTCTCTATTTCATTTATCTCTGCTCTGATCTTGTTTCCTTCCTTCTGCTAACAGTGGGTTAAGTTTGTTCTTCTTTTCCTAGTACCTTAAATTGTAAAATTAGGTTGTTGATTTGAGATGTTTCTTGTTTTTTTAATGTATTTACAGCTATAAATTTCCCTCTTAGCACCGATTTTCCTTCATCTCTTAAGTTTTATGTATTTTTATTTACTTCCATCTCTCAGTATTGTTTAAAATTTCCCTTGTGATATTTTTGATCCATTGGTTAAGAGTGTGCTGTTTAATTTCACAAATTTGTGAATTTTCCTGTTTTACCTCTAGTTGATTACTGACTTCATCCCATTGTGGTCAGAAAAAATACTTTGTATGACTTCCATCTTTTAAAATCTACTGAGACTTAATTTGTGGCCTAACATATGGTCTATCCTGGAAAATGTCCCATGTGCACTTGAGAATATGTATCCTGTTGTTGGGTGGAGTGCTCTAAACATATGTTAGATCTAGTTGGTTTATTGTGTTAAGTCTTCTATTTCCTTACTGGTCTTCCGTCTGGTTGTTCTATCCATTATTGAGTTGAGTTTGGAGTCTCCAACTGTTATTGTAGAACTGTCTAATTCTCCCTTCATTTATGTCAGTTTTTGCTCATATATTTGGATGATGTATTATTAGGTTGGTAAATGTTTACTGTTGTTTGGCATCTTTATTTTTTGTTCAGAACATCTAACAGAGTGTTTGGCCTTCAAAAATTATTTCTTTAATCCATTATAATAAATTAGAAGTTTTTGATAGTAAGAATCCTAGAAAGGGCTACGTAGAGAAATTCTATTATTTTCTGCAAAGTGATGAAATATAAAACCTGGTAAATTCCTTTAAAAAAAAAGGTTTAAAAAGGAATTTAAAAAGGAATTCTCGGAAAGAGAATCTACAGAACCTACAAACCCTCCCCAAAAGAAAATGTAAACCCTGAAAGTGGAAGATGATTTTACTTGATATTTTTGCCATCATCACCATGAAATTTCATTAAAACAAACACTGCCATGAAGTTAGTTGACATTCCCACCGTATTCACCTGTTACCATTTTCTTCCCCAAGCAATCAAGTTGAAGAAACGCTTCTACTACTTAAAGAGGTGCCGGCAAACTGTACTTATTAAGCTGCTCCAATGGGATTTCCTCTTAGTAAATCTGCTACTCGAGTATCTGCTATGCGTGCGGATTCAAAAGTGGATGATCACTTAATGCAAGGGACTGAGAAAAGCAAATTGGAACCAGTGACTCGGTTATTTCAAAACACCAAGAAAGTAAGATTAGAAGACACAAACCAAGAAAACTTTACAAGGAGTAAAGACACTGGAACAGGATCTTTTTCAGAGAAAGCCTTGGGTTCGGTGGTATATGTGAAAGAAAGTGATGGGATAGAAATGACAGATGTGGAATAAAATTATCCGTGTATATGACCAGAGAAACCAAAATTTGCTTTTGACTAAGAGGGCGTGTTGAATGAGAACTTAACCTTATAGGAAAACCTGACAAAATGAAGGGAGATGATTATTTATTTTTTACTATCTATGAATCACCATGGACTGCTTTTTTTGATATGTATTCAAAAAAGTTGCTTTAGGGAGAAAAAGCTTTCCAAAATTCAAAGCAGATTTCTCTGGTATTACAGTCTATATTGTCAAAAATCAGAGTTTTTGTGTAACAGTATTTAAATGGCACCAAAACATTCTAATTATAATACATCAGTATTTCACATTATTTCTGGTGTATTGATTTTGTATGTTGGAGTTCCAATTGG